GAAATAAGACACTCAAAGAGGGAAGTGCCCCCCAGCCATAGGTGTCATGTCCCACCTTTGATGCGTGAGTTGGCATATCATGGAGGGGAGAATATTAATCAGTAATCTGATTTAGAAAATCCCTTGTATTTCTCTGGTCCTATACTATATATATTTAAGGAGATATGTTTAATTTTTACAGCTTAGAAATAATACCCATACTAATTATGTTGAAAATTATATTAGATTAGTAACAAAATATATTAAAAATCAAGTTCAACTCTGTGAAAGAAATATGTATTTCCTGAAGAAAGGTCCTACTGAATGTATCAGTGAGTAGCATCGTATGTTTTTTAATGAAGAAAAATTGCGTGAGAGTTAAAAAAATACCATCAATCATCTTCTAACTAAGGAGTATAAATTCATATATTATTTCTTCCATTTCTTCAATTATTAATGTCTATATGTCCTCTTGGAGCTTATTGCTGTGAAATTCAACAACGTTCTCTCCACAAGAATTATTCATGACAGATTCTGAAAACCAGAGATGACTGAGACACACAGCAAAGCAGTGTGGAATATTCAAAAGTGGGTTTCAGGAAGCCCAAATATATATTCTGCTGAAAGCCAAGAGAGCTGAAGCGTGAGAGGAAAATAAGACAAACACAGCTGACCAGGGAAATACAGTAAGCAATAAAAGAACGGATAAAGGCATACAAGACAGATAAATCAATGGGGTCATCACTTTGAGCAGGGATAAACAAGTCTAAAAAATAAGCAAATAAGGGGATGATCACAAAAGCCAAAATTGGAAATGGAGAGAAAATTGCAGAAGCTACAAGGCCAAACAATAACAGATTTCACAAATATACAAGGAACAAGAGGTCAGTGGGAGAGACTGTCATCTCCGTATGTGGTCGGGTGGGGAAGTTAGTGGCAGAAGCTGCTGGGAAGCTGGCGCTGCCTTCCCCTCGGTGTGCTCGCTGGAGAGACCACAGGGAACCTGCCAGAAACAGAGAGAAGCATCCTGGAGGCAGAATCTGAAAAATTAATGAAACAAAGTATGAGAGCGGAACAGGTTAAGAAAGAAAAAGAAGAAAATAGGGCAGCTAAACAGTAAGCTTCAGGTCTGGTGGCCTGTTTCTCAGGTTTCTGAAAGACTTGGATTTTTTTTTAACTCTCTTGGACTATGAAGTCTATAGTACATGAGGTATATATAAGCTATATGAGGTATATAGTTGAAGAGCAGAAGGAAGTCAGTGCAAGACAGTATTTTCAAGATTTTATAAGAAAAACCCATGCAATGATAGCTTTATAAACTATAAATCCAAGCACAGGCAAAACCAAATTCAGGGTTGTAGAGAAAATGGGCAGCACATTGGTACAAACTAATCAGGAAAGAGTTTACAAAAGCTGAGTTGGGGTTAACTAACATAACTGATTTCCTTGGAAAAATGACATGTTTCCAAGTCCGTAGTGCTGGACACAACCCTTAAAATATACAAATGTTTGTTTCTGTTAGTTGCTGATGTGTCTTCAATTTTAATTCTATGAGTAAAGGCACTGAGAACAGATAAATAAAGTGAAAAGCTAAAGTCAAATTCACAACTTTACTTGAATAGCTGAGTTGCAAACAGTTACTTAATGTGATTTATAAAAGCATCAAAGCCAATCAGGCAGCTAACTGGCATTGATTTCCATTGCCAGTTATGCATTTTCCAGGGGCCCTGAATCCCAAGTAATGTCTTAGATTCTCACGAACATTATCAAATGTTGTGTAGAAAAGCATAAAGCCAAGAAAAAAAGATGAAAGATGACCAAAAAATGGCAATGACAACAATTTATTTCTACCTTTGACCAACAATTTGTTTATAGAAAGTCATACAGTTATACTTAGATGCCAAATACAAAAATTAAACAGTTCAAAACAAAATAGATGTATTTGTTATCCTACTGTGTTCTTCCTCAGTTCCCAGACGATTGTGAATTCCAAAGGGGATTGTTTCCGGGCATTACTAGATGAAAACTTTTGCAAGTATTCAGTGTTCTTAACCGAACAAAGATTGGGGCAGGGTGGGCTTAATGTTCTGGCTTTAGTGTGACAAAATTCAAGTTTGCGTCATCTCCAGTGGCCAAAAATTTTCACAGTTTCACATCTACTGGTGCCCTTTAGCCTTGGTGGTTTTAGCTCAGAGCTGCCTGAAGTGTCATCTTTACCTCTTACAGTGTTCTAAGAAGGTTATAATAAGAGGAAGAAATGAAATCCTGGGGATTGCTGGGGCTAAGCCTACTCACATCTTTGAAAATAAAGATCAGGATTTTGAGAAAATATCATTTAATGATAATGGCATTGAAGAAGCTATAGTGAGGGTAATATGCATCACAAAGAGAAGGAACAGAAATCAAGAAAGCAAGACACATGCATTCAATAAATGTTATCCTCTCTGCTTAAATCCCATTGAACTGATATGCAAGTTTCTAAAAGCTGCCTGAGCCCCAGGCTGTGACCCACTCCTGTTTTCCAGGATGCAGCCTCTGTCAGGCACCTAAATGAAAGAGGTTCCTCCCTAATTATCTAGCCGTTTCCCTGGGCACTACACACACTCTGAAATTCCAATTCTGTGGAAAAATTCGCCTGCCTTCTCTCAGAGCTCCATATGGACAGTTTAAACAGACAGCTCCTGAACCCCCATAGCACCAGGGGGAGTGCCAAAATAAACCTGGTATGGTCAGAACTACAAGAAACAGTGCTTCCCTTTTGCCCTAGGTTTTAGGCACTGTCCAGACTGATGGAGATTGAATTCCTCTTTCTGCTCTGACTGTTATGATGTGCGATATTTCCATGAAAATATGTTCCACCTTTCCTCTTGATTCTGAGCAGCTGGGTCCTGAACAAGAGGAAGACTCACAGGACAAGAGGCAGGACAGTCATTTGGCAGCGAGCAGTAGTGGTGACCTAGGCACAAGGGTTTCCACCGTATTTATAGGTTTTACATCGAAGCATCTTTGGATAGAAACAAGTATAGTCCAAAGAGAAAACACCAGAAGCTTAGGCCTCCTCTTTTCCCGGGTTTAGGACTCTTAAATTAGTGAAGATTTGGGCTTTTGCTTGCCTGCTGTGCATCAGATTGAGTTTCTTGCAGCCAGCTGCACAGGGGCTCACCTCCTAGAAGAGGATGCTCTTCCCCAGGATATGCCCCATGACCTGCTGGATGGAGCATGGTCCTGGGATCTGGAGGATGTAGGTCTATTCCCCCTCTAGCCTGCACCGTTAGGCCTTGACTTTGGTGTCAGTGTCTGGAAGCTATATCCTGTTAGGACTACTACCCCATACCCACTTCCAGATGAGGAGGATTGGAATCTGGCTAAATGGAGGTACTTAAAATTTATTCAATATTTCTTAATAGTGTTAATGGAGGAAGGTGTTCAGTTTAGGCACACTGAGTAAGACTTTAAAGACACCTATAGTCCCTACACACAGAGAGAGGTGTCTGTGTTATGCAGAGAAGGTCTTCCTTAGCAGGTCTTCATGATGAATTTGTGACTGTATACGTTCCTTAGATATGTGTGTGCCAGGCAGACAGAGTCTGCCTTCCTGTGAACAAGTGCTTTAAAATTTAGGTAAGACAATGGCTGAGTTAGGCACTTAAATAAAATGGTTAGGCACTTAAATAAAATGCTTGTTACCTAAGTAGCAGTGTAAGTTACTGGGTTGCATAGCTGCTGGGATGCAATTAAATCAGACGAAAATCAAGAGCATGAGATGCAAAGAGCATGTCTAAAGAGTACTAAATGCAGTGAAACCGTCTATTTTTCAGTGGTCTCTCAATAGAACATGAAGCATTATTAGAGTGGAAGAAAATTGTAAAGATCCTCGGTGTTTTCTAATTGGGAATAAAAGGAACAAAAATACAATGTAAAAGAGGAAGTTATAAGTAGATATGCAGAAGGGGCTAGAATGAACAGCTTAAATGCCCCAAAACTAGTTAATCACAGGAAGGGGACTAAAAACCGATGTAACTTGAGTAGCATTTGTAATCACAGAATAAAAAAGTTCAAAGAGGAAGTTCTTTAAACAAAAAGTAATTTGTGTGTGCAATCACTCTGTGTAGGAGGTTGTAAGGGTTACACAAGGGTGATCACATTCAACAAACCCAGGTTATATGACCTTTGAGAAACAGGTGGCTACTCTGGTAGAAGACCAGAACTCTGAAATGCTATTTATGTTACAGTGCATTAAAATGATCAACGAGGAAGTGGTACGCAACTATGAAAAATTTGACTTCCTTCACTGACAAAGGATTTTGTTTATTGTTTGATTTTTTTCAATGTGAGAACACTTCCAACATTGGCCATGAAAACTGTTGGTTTCGGTTGTGTTGGAGAGCTTGCTTTCCCATTTATCCAGCCTTGCAGAGTATAATGGAGCACAGCAGTGGAGAATTTAAGAGTAATTCATCATTTATAATAATAACGACAAATGACAGTGTTAAGAATGTGGTCGTATTTTCATTATTTAAATAGCATTGAAACATATCTTAAATGCACACAATCAAAACCTTACTGAATATTACAAAATTATGAAGCATTGCTTTATTCCTGATTGTTGTACTGATAGCTAACAGGTTGGATGAGATTGCTCTTTCTTTAACTATATTCAGCTGCCTTAGAAAAGAGTGTAACGCACAGAAGAGAGAAAGGAATGAAAAGGAAAACCACATTTGTATTAGTTCTGTAACTGTTATGCTGGCATGTATGTGTGACACATTCAGGCAAATAATAGTTTTTTGCAATTTCACAGGTGTTGTAAGTGTCCTCCCCCTTGGTCATTATTGCCTAAGCAGCTTTTTAGTTTGAAAACATGCATTTTGAGAACAGCAGCTAATCATGGTGTAGAATTAGAGTATACGACTAAATGACATGAGTTATACAATCTGATCTACAGAAATCTGCAGGATAGTATAATAATTTGCATCTTTTATTTTTGCACAGTGTTTATGGCTGTCCTTTGGCAAAAAAACGAAAAACACAAGATAAGCAACCCCAAGAACCAGCCCCAAAAAGAAAACCCTTTGTGGTTAAAGCAGACAACTCTTCGGTAGATGAGTGCTATGAAACTGATGGAACAGAGGAGATGGATGAAAAGGAAGAGGAAGAAGAGGAAGAGGATGAAGAAGAGGAGGAATATTCTGATGATAATGAGGAGCAAGGTGACGAGGAGGAGGATGATGAGGAGATAGATCGAGAAGAAGAAGAGGAGATCGAAGAGGAAGAAGAGGAGGATGAAGAGGAAGGTGAAGATGTGGAGGATGAAGAAGAGGAGGAAGAAGAGGAGGAGGAAGAAGAGGAGGAGGAGGAAGAACGTGGTAATAATCAGAGTATTAGTAAAAAGTAAACAATGTGTGTTTTCTGGGTTAATCTTCTAGTGTGGTGTGTGAGGATTTAGCTGTGTGGTTCTCATTAAAGCTAATGGAAGTCATGCAGTTAAATCTTTCTGCTCCACACTGAAAATATACCCCACTGTGTTCCCGTAACATTTATTTTAATAAGTCTGTCTTCCAAATATTTTTTAATACACCAGCACTCACATTTCAAACAAGGAGGGTGGAGGTGTGCTTGTGCTAAAAATACTTGCATATAATATAATCCTCGTAGTGGATTAATGCATGCAGTTACCAGGAGAATATTCACGAAGGTACAAGCAAAGCATCAGCTACAGCTGGGTGCCTGTACTGATCATTTGCAAGTGTATTTGCTGGATCTGCTTATATAATGTCAATGGTTGCCCACATAAATGCTGTCACAAGTTTGCAGATAATTTTTATGAGCAAAACTGGGCCTCTTCCCTTTGAAAATTTTGCCCCATACTTCCCTCTACTCCAAGAAACTATTCAGAATGAACTATTTTAATATACTTTGGTTCTTTGAGACTTGAATGCTGTGTACTTTAGTTGATTCTATTAAAAATACAGAGAGTGAGAGGTTTACATAGATAAAGTCCTTCTAAAATTCATATATTTTGGTTATCATACCATGGCAGAAATGCCATTTAGACAGACAGGTCACTGGCAGTAACCAAATTAATGTAGTAGCAATGTGATTAACCTATTCATCTTTCTCTTTTTTGGGATATTGGACTCTATATAACCAGTATTTTCAAAATACGTAAACAGTGTCCATTTACTCAAGAGTCCATATGCTGATGACAGACATCATAATGCACTGGGGTGAAATGAAAGAATCATGCAAAAATTAATGAGCTATCTAAAAAGTATTTTGTTCCCATTTCCAGGGAACACGTTTTTGGTTGGGTAGATTCACCTTTCTAACCAATAAAAATATAAGAAAAGCTTTCAGCACTCCTCAGTTGGATTCCTCTTAGGAACCAGGTATGAAAGTTGTATGACTTTTGTTTCAGCGTTCTGTAAGGTCAGATCTTAAATCCTATAGAAAGACTTTGGAAGTATTCTTTCCATTTGGGCAAGATGGTGGCCAGCTGGGTAGCTATAAGCATTTTCTCCGAACCTGTAGCATTTCCTCAATTGCTTAAATTTGGCAACAAAATTGGTAGAGCATAAATTGCCATCTTAAAAGTTATATGAGTTTGATGCAACAGGGAAGCCTTTTCCTTTTGCAGGGAACTCTGCTGTTTCAGAACCTGGAAGAGAAGCTGTTAGATCAGGCTGATGTGCAACTGCTATTGCTATCCTGATGGGCAAGTGCAGGATGTCTAGCAGTTTCTTTAAGAGATAATGGTGACTGAGTTTGTTGGTTCTTAGGTTATGGTGCAACTGCTTCTGTGATTTCAGCTGACATGAAAATCTTTGAATCTACACTATCAAAAATGATAAAAGGAAAAAAAAATAAGCAAAACTCAAGAGCTCAAAAAAATTGCTTCTGGCAAGCCAGCAGGCTTGATGCTCAGTTTACTTTTACTATCATCATGAAACACAGTGGTTTACTTATTCCAACACAGTTACACATGCAGTTAGCGGTCCTAATCTACAGAGGCTGACATTGCTTTTTGACTGCTTTCCTTCCATATATAGTAGGCTGTGGTTAAGAACTGCAGAAATTTTACAGAGGTACCTGTATTAGCTGCTCTGCATATTACATGGAATTAAAACTTACATATGTCAAGTTTGTCTTAGGATCCTATGCTATTCCAGTAATAATACATATATACATTGAATAAATATATATATGTTCTATGTCAAATGTTAGTCATTAAGAAAAAATACTTATAAAATGGGAAAAGTGATAATAGAATTTTATAAGAAAAATATTTCATGATCATTTGAGAATCAACATAGTAATCACTATGCAACAATCCCGGTTAGAGCACAGCTGATGTACAAGAAAGAGTTACTAGCAATTAATGAGGAAGGTAGTATGGAGTTCCTTATGTCTATGCCAAGGAGTGGAGAGTGATAACAGTTCATTCTTGGTGAGGTCTAGAAGCTAATCAGTAAAGCAGATTTTTTTAGATAGTTTATTTCCTATTGATTTCAGTAGGGATCCTGGCATTTCACTTTCTTCCACTTATAACATAAGCAGCTCTGGTGGAATTTGGACTGTTGATTTTCCAGGGAAACAAAGTGCAAAGTTAGGGGTTCTAAAACTACGTGGTCTGAATATGGCACTTGCCTTTATCTATTGACTATATGGGAAAACTAGGTCTGTCAGCTCTTAATTTAGTTGTCTCAGTCACTCACTGCTCACTACAATGTAGACACTGTAGTAAACCACCACCTACCTTTTAAAGCACCTTAGCAGGAAGTCTGAATGTGCCTTAGTGTTCTTATCCCTAGAAACTAAATGCAGAATTAGCCACTGGACACCAGGATGCCTGCACAGTTCTCATAAAAGTTTCTGTCACTTGTGCTGTAGATTATAGCAGTTCAGAAAAATTCCATAAGTAACTATAGTCTCAGTGGACAAAACAGTTAAAATCATAAGTATTGGTGACAGAAGAATTCCATCAGCAAGTATAGGACTACAGAGCCAGGAGTTAGTGGGGGGAAGGGAAGAGAAGAGGAAGGTAAGGTATTTTACCGTTTCTTAGACCAAATTCAGTTTTCTGTTAGAAAAGGGTAAATCCTGGGAAACTCAAGTACCTCACTGGTATCTCATTGCCCATACTTTTTGTTAAAAGAAAGTGATAATACACTGGTAATATAGGTACACCGTTCTTACTGAAAATATTTGGACATTCACTGAAACCATCTCGGCCTTTTTGAAAATCACATCTTTCTAGCCTCGTCATTGATAAACTAAAGGACTTGGAAAATACAGATGTATCCTAAAGAAACATTCGTACAAATCTCAAAATACCAGTTTAAAATAAAAAGAAAAAAAAACTAAACTTTTTTAGATGAGTCCCAAATTCTGTGCTGGTATTTCTGTACACAATCCGTTGAACCAAAATTAATGCTTAAAATTCCCCAGCAGTGGCCGGCATATCCTCTTTAAATTTCCATTAAATGTACTGAATGTCTCTGAAAAACAGGTATCTATCCATCTATCTATGAACAGACTTGAGAAGCCCTTATGTTCAGCACCACTACTAAAGGAAAGATGAATCTTTCCGATTTCCCTTATATCTCAGAAAGAAAGGGCAGATACATGACCTGTGTTATGATAATCTAACCTGCAAATTGCAATACAAATGGGAAGGAGTAAGAGAAAAGGCTACTTTTGGAGTGCCCCTTCTCTGTGGTGGCAACTGCTGAGAACCTTTGGATTGAAATCTGAAGGGTGCATTTGATTTGCAAGGCAAACCGAAGTATTTTCTCCTGAGAAGAGCTCGCTTCAGGTATTTGGGTCCCAAAGACTGTTTCACAAAGCTTTTCTGTTATAGAAAGAAATCTCCGTTGGAGGAGCTCCCGGAACAGATGTTCCAAGACACCATTTAGCCCATTTCACATGAAGACATTCAAGATGGCTTGTACTCCAGGTATTTCATAATCTGCCAGGGGCAGGAGGAGTCAGGCTGATTCTAGACCTAAGGAAATTTGATACATCAATCAAATCCATTTCACAGATGATGCTACAAAAGCTATTGCAGTTTCCCAAGAGGTGAATTGTTAGGACGTATAAATCTTTTGGACACTCCCTTACATTTTCTAATAAACTCAAGGTAGCTGGCATATACAGTATAACAATATGTGTGGTACTGCACCTAACTTTTCAGGTGGACTATACTGCAAAAATAGCTGTAAAACATAGATAGCAGTGTATATTCAAAGGAGACATAATACAGTTTTGAAAAATAAATAAAAGCTAGCACATGGATGTAGAGATAGATGTCCTACCTGTTTTCACATTTCTTTGGATTGTAGGATTGTTTTTAAAAATCTGCTAATATGTTTGGGTTTCTTCCTTCACTTCCACGAACTCGACATAGACACATAGGCCCTCATAATTTGAAATCCGTCTTTCAGCTTTATTAAGGTTGTTAGTGCCCTCTGCTATTTTCCTGATGCCCTCATCAGATTGCTTCTGAAGCACTTATGTCCTCTAAGCAAGAGGAGATGCAAACACCAATCTAAAGGTGAAAGAAGCACATGTGCTGAGGAAACTGTGGTGGCACACAGCTTTCCAGCTGTGCTTGCCTCTGAAGATACTCTACAACTTGATAAAATAAAGATGACAGATCTACATTAGCAAGGTCGCCTGTCCAGCCTGCTGACCCCTAATCATATTCATTCATTTAAACTATTAGCAGGAAAGTGGTGAGCTATTTGGTGAACACAGTAGGTGTTCAGTATTAATCAGAGCAGAGCGCTAGACTCATGTGTACCTTAGAGGCAAAACAGCTAAGAGAAAAAAATTATAGCTTTCAATTAAGAGGCCAGAAAGCATAATTTCACTGCTTAGGACAATGTACATGGAAAGAAGTGCATTTTCCAGGGCCAAAGAAGACTAAATAAATACCTGACAGTTTCACAACGTGAAGCAGATCTTAACCCTTTGCTAATAAACTCTATTGCTGTATTGTTTCATGTCCCTCATAAAGGAAGATACCCCATGTTTAGGGTATCTCATCAATAACAACATGAAGAACAGAAAAAAATAAATAGAGTTGCAGCTGGGAGATATTTATCCTGGCCATTGTGTTGGTTTCCTCTGGATAAGAAGTTAAAGTTGCCTTTCTGGTCTAGTTATAAAGTGCTCGAGCCTGGGAGTGGTTGGGTCAAACCACAGCATAAGAACTGTTATTGGTACCTTCTTTCTGCATTGAAGATGCGAGCATGGATTGCAACATGTTCTGCTGTTTAGCTGTTTATATTATTTCATATAGAGACATTCAGACTAAACAATTTCTCTGAAAATTTTTGTTGGAAATAATGCGATTAAAAGATTT